AATGCAGACATTAATAGGTCAAAGATTTTGCTTGATTTTACAGAGAAGGTTACTTAAACGTGCCTTTAAACATAACAGCTCATGACAGTTCAACAAGCAGGTAGTAAGTTGTTCCATCACTCAAGGYACTTTGAACAGCACTGAAAGTTTTTTCAGAGGCTTATAAATGTTAGGTACCTGGATTAYGAATTAAAAAAACCCTGGTTTATGAAACTAATGTCATCTATGTCCTGCCTCAAGCTTAGGTTCCGAAGGCACACAACATGGAATTTATCTGCAAGTCAGACTGTCTCATCCTGCACAGGYATTTTGTACTATGTATGGAACTACACACAGTGGAAATGCATCAAATTCCTTTAGCAGTTAAAAWTCCTGAAGTATCCCCAAATCCTTGGACTAAACTTCAGTAACAAATGCCCACAGACAATGTAAATAGTTGTCCTTGTTAAACTGACCAGTTTGCCAGCATTTGCACACAAACTGCTCAGAAGACCTTTACATATAAATTGGGTGCTGACCACTATTTTTGTGRAGGCAGTGTCAMAACAGGAGGAACATTAGCCTGAGGTCTYCTCTGTAAACTGGTCTGTCAGGCCAGGTCAASTGATTTTAAATTCTCAGCCACCACTGCAGCTTGCACTCACAGTGCAGAGTACAGCACTGTAGAGACAGGTTTTCTCCATACAGTAGCAAAATGCCAAGTTGATGAAAGATGGAAAACTGCTGTTGAGAGACCTAGCAAAATTCAAGTTTTATGATACACCTTATGATGCCTTTTACAAACACAATTTCATTCCTGTTGGGAACCTSCTTAMCCATGGCCACGTTGAAGCATGGAAAGCTTTGTCAARTCCCCATCTCTACAGAGAAGATGTACAATGTGGTAAGATGATACCAACCTTACTCATCTGCCTGCTGGACTGTTCCTTTCTCAGAGACATAGATACCATCCAAGAATTTCCTGATATCCTTGTTCTTGACTGTGGTGGCTTGCTGGATCAAGGCAGCTGCAGACAAAGTGAGATCATTAGCAAAAAGCCAAAACACGCAACCCAACTCGTACCCTTTGTCTGTGCTCCAGTATTTCAGCTAACAAACAGAACTGTCATCTAGAGAAAGAAATTACCAACTTGAAATCCTGTCAGCTCTAATGAAAAGAGAATGAATTTCACTGAGCTCATCTTGGCAACTTGGGGCAGTCACAGTTCATTACTGCAYATACATACAACTGAAAAAGTGAGCTGTACAACTGGAAAGTATACATGTAAAAGCTGAAAAGGTTGGTGCCAAAAGGTCTGTAAGTACGGACTCAAAGAAGAAGGGTCTGTGGACTTGTAAAAACATCTTAAGCTTAGAAACAGCATAAGGAACTACAAAAAGCAATTACAGTGACTAGTGCAAAAAAAAAATGCTGGGTTGTTGTTTACCTCAGGGTTTGAGGTAAATAGYTTGCTAAACTGACATCTTCAGGTAAGTTTCCATATAATCTTCCACACATCTACTTTCACAAACCTGAATTGGAGACCAGCTCAATATCATTCCCTTCMAGGATCAGCTCATCTTTCTGGGCTTGAGATACTGCACAGGTAACACCTGCCGTAAGGAAAATGCATAATCCATGCTGTTGAAGATGTTCAGTGTATTAAAGAAGACCGTATTAAAGTCATGTCCCAACTAACAGATCTAGAAAGTAGCATTCAAGACAATAATTAGATTCTATGACTTCGTTAAAARGAGTCCCTTAAATCCATTCCAGGGTTGTCCTCCCTCACAGAGTTTCAAAATTTAAAGATTAGTGCTGGTCATGCTCTGGATTGAAGGTTAGTAAAATGATATTCCTGCTTACCCATTATTACATTAGAGCATCAATCACCAACACCGTGTACAAGCTAGCAATTTTACCAGCATGGCTCTGTCAGCCAGGTGGTGCCATTTCCCACAGGCTTGTGCTCATCAAGACAAAACTGGAGTCACACCAATCAAAAGCCATTAAAAACCTCCTGCACCTTGTCATATCATGTACTGTGTTTATACTAGCAATGCTGCAAATATTCAGAAGGAGTAACACTAGGGCATTCGAGAGTGTGACAGGAAACCTGAATTTGCAASGAGAATAACAAAAGTTTTTACAGTYTGATCTACTTRATCAACAAACGCCAGGTTTTAAACCAGCCCTTTATTAACAGTAAATGCCGACTGAAAAAAAACAATTAAATGCAATAATCAAATCCACCCTTAATATCCCTCCGTAAATGAAAACCCTGTAACTCTGCACTTTATCTACCAGTGTTTTGGGACAAGTCTGATGCATTCCTCTAAAATCACCCCAAAACAGTATCAGTCACATTAGTCCTTACCCATACCCTCACCAGAAGTGGAATTAGAAAAAACACATGGATATGGGAAGTCTTTTCTACATTCTTAACAGAACTGTTTATGTTTTGTTGCCTCCTTTCAGAAGTTTAAGAGGCTCCTTTAAGTGCCTGCTCTTCTGTTAGGACGTTTTACTGAAACTTCAAGTGTGCAAGATGCAAAAACAGCTAGTAAGATGGAATGCTCCTAGAAAATCAGTAAATTCAAAATACAACACCTCAAAGATCAAAACTATGATGTGGCATGAAACTAGTTTACATACAAGGTTTATAAAACAGAAATACAAATGTAGCACTAAGCATCTGCAGTTTACCAACCATAAACACCATCAAGACTCACAGAGATGAAAGCAAATCCTGGACTCCTTGTATTACAGTAACTAACTTTAAAGTAGCCATTAACTAGTTCTCATTACTAAAAATAAATTACAGAAGCATTACTAACAATAAATCTAAACAATGGCAAAGCTATTGTAAGATTACACAAATTCAGACAAGCAAATGCTGCTCCAACAATGATTCCTCTTGCATTCTCAGTRGCAGTGCCCCAAGAAGATAGCTTGGAAAGCCTAGTTAAAACTGGCAGAATATACCTGCAGAAATGCTCACCTGGCCTCATYCGCACTCTACGAATGTACTTCTCTCCCAAGAAGTTTCGGATCTCCACAAGTGAGCCATTATCCTGWATGACTACATTGATGGGGAAGTGAGCGTACACCGACCTCATCTTGTAGCGAAAGCCCTGGGATACAGGACAGAAATGGATATGGAAAACAGAACAYGCCCAAGGGATGCATGAAGAACATGTGCGTGAAGCTTATGGGAGAAATCTAAACCCAAGGTRTATCAACAACTTCTTAAAAGGGGCAGGACACTGCATCCAAGAGACATTAGTGCTTTCCTCCACCTGCACAACTTGTTTGACAACAAATGCAAGAAAACAAGTAAAAGGAGGAAGAAGCTACATCTTGGAAACTTGGAAATGCTCTCCATAAAGTAAAAGGCTATCACTGCAAGTAACAAAAACGGGAGCAGTTACCCTGTTTCCAAATACAACTTACCAGAGTGACCCCCTTGATCATGTTCTGTACATGGCTGCAAATTGTTCGAACTGTTGCCAGCTCCTTTCTGTTACCCCACCACTTGTCAACACGCAGCTGCATCAAMAAACACATTAACAAAGCTTTCAGCTACACCTTGAACTATCAAGAAAATTATTTTGTGGTAAATGAGGAGCAAAACGTTCAGAAGAACTACTTAAAAGGCCACCAAACAAAAACACAGAACTATTGTTTCTTTGACAGACTACTAAAGGCCCACCTGGCTCCTGAATTTAAATTCTAACCCTCAGACGCACTTTTCTTGCGACTAACAAGCCTACAAAAGAGCTGAGGTAGATAAATATAAAATCTTAAACTAAAGGATGAATTAGCAATTGCTAAGCATACTGTTTTAAAGTCAGTCTCCTATGCAGAATCACCTTACACAAAACACTGTGTGGATCCATTGTTTAAATGAACCATTTGATCTTTGTGAAAAAGTAACTAAAATCAGTCACTCCTGGTATTTACTCACACTTCTTAAGACAATACGAAAACGTTATGCATTTATTTAGAGAACATGTACTCTACTGGTTTAACTTTCTCCAGTTTCTGGAAATCAAATAAACTGATTTTTATCCACTAAACGAACGAATTTGTAGAACGGCACATAATCAACCCCTTCCCCTGTAACAGACTATCACTACAGAAGAGTACCATCAACACATTCACTGCAACTTTACACGACTGCTAGACTCCCACAGTGCCCGAGAAGGGCCCATACTCTTTCAGAACACACAGGAATAAGCAAAATCAACCACCACCAATAAGTTTTTAAGACATCTATAAAGGTTCCCCCGTCTCCGGCCCTACACATCACTCACCTTCTTGTGCTTCTTGCCCAAGAGAGACAGTTCCACGTTAATGTGGTTAAAATCCCTCCGCAAGGTTCCTCGGGGCCCCTTCACAATGACCGTCCGGCCCTTCAGCGAAACTCCCACTGCGAACCAAAGGCGGACACGCGTTACGGGCTGCGGGGCGGCACCGCCGGGCGCCTCCCGAACGCGGCGCGGACTGACCTTGCTCGGGGATGTCCACGGTCTGGTTGCTGAGGATGGTCTTCATCCTACGAGAGACAATAGCAGAGGCTGGAGGCTCCCGCGGCCCTGKGTCAACGGGGACCCCGCCCGCTCTTCCCCCGCGCGAACCGACGCGCCCACCCGCGCTGCCACCGCCGGGCTCCGCTGCCCACACCAGCACGGGCCCGGAGCGCGGTGGGGCGCGGCGGCCTCAGCGGCGCCTGGCCGGGAAGGCGCCGTCCCGGGGCCCTCTCGCGCGGGGTGCGGGACAGGAGGCGCCGGAGGAGCCCGGCACCGCCCCGGGGGACTGCCCGCGCACGGAGGGGGCGCTAAGGGCCCGCGCGCCACGGATGATCCCGGATTATCCCGGGGATCCTGGGCGATCCCGGTGGTAACGCTGGGCCTCACCTCGCAGCAGGCAGCGCCAAAAGAGACAGCGCATGACGTCATCGCGTATTTGTAGACGCTCCCGGGCCCGTGACGTAATCGCGGCGACAGAGCCGTCGGATAGGCAGGAGTAGCTGATGCGACCGAGCTCATCGATCGGGGTGCGCGCCGCCATGTCGCTGCTGCTGCCGTGGGGTCGGTGCGGGGCCGCCGCCACCCGCGGGCTGCTGCTGCCGCGGGGCCGGGGCCAGGTGAGTCGCGCCCTGTGCTCCGGGGCCGCCGGCAGCAGGACGGGCCGGACGGGCGGGGGACACGGCACGGTATGGTCACTGCAGCAGGAGACGCTGCCGAACGGCTGTGCGGTGGTGGCGCGGGACAGCGCCACTGCAGCAGGAGACGCTGCCGAACGGCTGTGCGGTGGTGGCGCGGGACAGCGCGGGCAGGAGCCGGGAGGGACCGTCCCAGCCCCGCATGGGCACACGCACACCGAGAACACCGAGCCCCGGCTCTGCTCCCACGGGACAGCGCCCGGCAGCAGCCGGCAGCCATGGCAACCCGCTTCCTGCGGCCCCGCGATACCCGAGTCACCCACGCAGTGTTAGTGCACAGAGTCACTGGGGCTGGAAAGGCCTCCCAGATGGTCGAGTCCAGCTGTGACCGAGCCCCGCCTTGTCAACCGGACCATGGCACTGAGCGCTATGTCCAGCCTCCACGGGCGGTGACTCCAGTACCTCTTGGGCAGCCCGTTCCGATGTCTAATCACCCCTTCTGGGAWGAAATTCCTCCTGATGTCCAAACTAAGCCATCCCTGTTGCAGCTTAAGACTATGTCCTYTCATCCTGTCACTTGTTGCGTGGAACAAGAGGCYAACTYCCAGCCTCCAAGCTCCTTTCAGGCAGTTGTAGAGAGTGATAAGGTCCTCCGAGCCTCCTCTTCTCCAGGCTAAACATCCCCAGCTTCCTCAGCTGCTTCTCACAGGACTTGTGCTCCAGGCCCTTCATCACCTTCACTGCCCCTCTCTGGGACACACTCCAGCACCTYGGTTTTCTTCTTGTGCTGAGAGGCCCAAAACTAAACACAGGATTTGAGGTGTAGCCTCACCAGTACTGAGTACAGGTCGATTTTACGTTACTCTATGTAACTTAGTGTGATGTTATGATACATAAGTCTGTTTCATGTGGCTTAAAATAAAAGGAGAACTATACATTTAACTTCAGGGCTATTGGGAAAATGCTTGCACAAAGTTTATGTTAACCAGCAAAAGGGCAAGTTGTTGTTTAGTATATGATGCCAGCATGTTTGTTATTAAATCAATTACAATTTTGCTTGGTTTAGGTGTCAGGGAGCCATGTGTGTAACCAGTATGGAACATCAGATTCCTTGCCAGGGGAAAAAAAAGAGTTCCTACAAAATGGACCAGACTTACAGGACTTTGTTTCTGGAGATCTGTCAGACAAGAGCAAGTGGGCTGAATATAAAGGCAATTTAAAGCGTGAGAAAGGAGAAAGGTAATTGTGATTTTAAACAACTTCAGTTGCTTTCCTGCACAATCCTGTATGTTTAGTAATAACTACCAAAGTATATACTATGTATCTTTATTAAATTCTTCTCTACTGTGTTGCAAATTTAATGATTTTTCAACCAAGGACAAGTGTAATTAAGTTCAAATCCATAACAAGATGTGGAGACATGGTGGCATTTTCTTATTTGAGTGCCAGTMATTAAATTACAGATATACATCAGTAGGTGAACGTGTTGAAAAAGTACTAAAAATGAAGACTTAAGTTAAAAAAATGTTTAAACCTCTATATTTCCAGTTATAAATTTGATGAGACTTTGTGATAGCTGTGTGACATCCGCTGCCATTGATTGTTGCAGTCTCCAGTGTGGCACTGTTCAATCCCACTGGAACAGTGACCTGTTAAATCTTTCAATGACAACAATTCCTGTGCTTGAGTGTCAGAATGATGATGAACTGGGAAGAGAAGTCTGGTCTGGCCATGAGTGATGTTAGCATTAATTGCTACGTTGCATCAGTTTTGAAGGGACCTTTCCTTGTTGGGCTCTGTAACAAATTTAAATGGATCTATGAAATTAATGAAACTTACCATGTAAGTAGTTTATTAATCTTTATGTTTGCTTGGTGTTATTCAGGCTGCATCTTCCTCCATGGCTGAAAACAAAGATTCCCATGGGAAAGAACTACAATAAGCTAAAGAATACCTTGAGAAGTTTAAATCTTCATACGGTAAATCTGGCGCCAATCAAGTGTTCCTGTAGAAATAAGGCAGTTTTTACATTTTTTTGTCTGTGGAGGACAGRTAGAAATCATGCCTTGCATGATCTTCAGTGCTTACAAGATCTTCAAAGCAAATCAAGCCCAGTGCTGATCTTTTTTGCTAGGAGTGAATTTTACCCCTAAAAAATAAGGGTAAATCCAACAGATTTAGTGTTTTTCCTACTGTGATTTTAAATACTTGGGTTTATTACTTACATTATCAGAGAAGGTGCTATGTGCAACTATTTTTAATGGAAACACACTATTTCAGAGTTACATACTTGATTTGCATGAGAAGGAACTGTACAGATTTCATTAATTGTACTTTCCAGTAAAAAGTGGTGGGAATGCATGGAGGGGCTTTTTTCATTATTTTTTTCAGACTAAATCTGTGCTTTAATGAATCATATACTTTGTGAACATTTTATCAATTCTTAATGATGAGATGACAGTCTGTGTTAATTAGTAAGACAGTTACGTAGTTGAGGAATTTTTGCAGTTGTGAAGTAAAGAAAAAGAGTGGTAATGGATGACAGGAAGCAATTCTCTTCCTGTCTGTCCTACTGATTTGTTATAAATAGCAGGGGACTGTTGACCTCATTTATCGCAGAAGGAATTATGTTTTGTTTGTAGACTACTATTAAAATCAATAATATAATAATTATTTTCAAAAATAATATGGAAAAATTAAGGTACAGTACAGCCTTTCACCTTCAGGTATGTGAAGAAGCACGTTGTCCCAACATTGGTGAATGCTGGGGAGGTGGGGAATATGCCACAGCTACAGCTACCATTATGGTAAGTCATTAACCGTTTCTTAAGTTTTCTGTTAATATCTGAGCTGTTTGTAATCTATTGTTGGAACTCTATTGTAGTGGAGTGGTTTTATTTACCATAAAATAAATTTAGAGTAATGKGCTGTCCTAGTTTTTTTTGCTAAGTGTTGGGATTTATCTGATGGAGCTTATGCAGCTGTTTCCCAGCTGAACAATAGTGTGTAATATGTACTGTGTAAAGGTAGGAATGTCTTTCRTGTTCCAGCTGATGGGTGACACATGCACCAGAGGCTGCAGGTTTTGTTCAGTTAAGACTGCAAAAAACCCCCCTCCACTGGACCCACAGGAGCCTTACAACACAGCCAAGGCTATAGCAGAGTGGGGCTTGGACTAYGTGGTGCTGACGTCTGTGGACAGAGACGGTGCGTACCTTGGCTYTCCRCTCTGAGCTCTCAGTGGGTTACATGGGCCTCCACAAACATTTACCAGCACAGGATGACTGTTTTAAAGAAGTCAACAGTGCTGAAAATTCAGAAAGTTCCTACATATTCTTAGTATTTCTCCATGTCTGGTAAAATACAACAGAAATTATATTGTTAATAAGCATCAATAAATATTACAATACTAAGTATTTTATAACTAATTTTTAGTAAAATGCATGCATATACACCATGTTCTGTTACTTGGATAGCAAAAAGACAAGCATTCATATACAATAGCATTACAGAACTTCGTTCCAAACACTAAACCTAAGAATATRTTATACATAACTGAAAGCTGCATTTTCCTAAGGTTGCAATAGCTCCTTTGTGGTGACGCCATATAGGTAGGGAAAGACATTGTAAAAACTGTTCGATATGATGGAAAGTCCAGTGGCTTCAAAGGGGCTTAAAAGRGCACTAATAAATACTTTTCAGTTTTTTGTACAACTGTTTCTCAGACCACAGCTATAAATAGGTAAAGCCATTCTGTGCTTAGGGAGACAGGGAACCTAGATACAGGTAAATCTGAACTTTGCCTTAGACAATCACAGTTAGACTTTGTGCAGAGGCTTGGTATGRTATCTTTTGTAAACCCTTGGCAGAAGTGGTGAGATAAGACTGGGCTTTAACTGTTWTATTATTTTGCATTTAAGGTTTGAATTTGATGGGTTTTTTGGTTTTGCTAATAACTAAATACATTTCTTGAACAGAAAGATTAATTGAATAATTGAAATACTTCTAGATATGCCTGATGGTGGAGCGGAACACTTCGCAAAGACAGTCTTGCATCTCAAAGAAAGGTGTGTTATTAATGTATTACTCTTATTGTTAAAACTTTAGAATGTGGTACCACATGTAGGTTAAAGCTCCTTTAGCTGGATTGTTCCAGGGGCCATGCAAATGCAAAAGTCTGCCTCTAGCCGGTCTGTGCCCCTATTGTTTTCCCTTTCTTCATATTCCTCATAGAATGGCCTCAAACTATTTTGAATTTGGATGCATTTCCAATTCATCCCAGGCTTATTKAAAGCTAAGCACTGGATTCTTCCTTTGAACGGACAGCTAGTTTACCAGGAAATGAATACATTCTTTAGAGGTATGTTCATTTCTGAAGCTTGGGGCTGAAACAGGGCGGTTAGGTAATCCTGTCACCACATGATGGAAAGAGTCTGTTTTCTCATGCAGCAGTGATCAAATTGCTTTTCATTTTTCCTCCATCGGCCTTTCCATCCCTTTCTCCATTTCTGAGTCTATCACTGTTCATTCCTGCTTTCCCTGACTGTGCTGCCTTCACCATATGCTGGTGCCCTGTATATATACCATTTGAGAGCACACTTGCCTGCCTGCAGAATGCATTTATATAACCTCGTGTATCTTGGGACTTGAAAGGTTTCTGCAGTTTCCCTCACCTGCTCTTCTGAGGTGAAATCAGGCTCCTGGACAGCAAGACTAGATTTTAGACTCAAGAGAGTTGTCTTATTCCAGAGCAGAATTATACCTTCTCTGTATTTTGGAGCTATGATGTTAACAAAACRTTGTGTGTTCAATTCCTGATTTTAGTGATGTGAGCTGAAATACAGCAAAAGCCAAATAATAAATATAAAATTGATTCCAACAGTCTCTAAAACCATCCCATGCACTGTTTATACATGATTTTTTAAACATGTCTTTGTTGCAGACTAACTTAACAAGAGTTTAAGTTGTTAACACAAGTTTTTGCAGAAACCTGTTGGCTTAGAATCCTCCTGAATTAACTTTGTTTTGATTATTCGAGTGTCATGTGTTTAGTTATGGGGTTGGGGKTTTTTTGGCCATCTTGAGTTTTTTTTAACAACAGTGACACAAAATCCCACAGGTGTGTTCCTTTTGTCTCTCCTTTTCAGGAATCCAAAAATACTGGTAGAATGCCTAACTCCCGATTTCCGAGGGGACCTTAAAGCAGTTGAGAAAGTCGCCTTGTCGGGGCTGGATGTGTATGCCCACAACGTGGAGACGGTGCCGGCACTGCAGAGGTGAGCAGTGGCTCTGGGTGTGCGGGATGAAGGCCCGGGATGCGGAACGTGGCCGGGGTGCAGAGCGGGGCTGAGGTGCGGAGTGGAGCCGGGGTGCGGGCCCGGGATGCGGTGCG